TCATGCAAAGGTTGAAGACTCTAAATGAACCAGCTTGGAAGTATCTTGACAATATACACCCTTCAGCATGGGTTAAAGCCTATTACAGTCACTGGCCTAAATGTGACAACATCACGAATAATATGGTTGAGGTGTGGAATGCAAAGATTGTCAATTATAGGGACAAACCTATAATGACATTGTGTGAGGAATTGAGGTGCTACATAATGCGAAGGATGGCAGCACACAAGAGGATTCTACAAACCTTTAGGGGTAAGATAGCACCGGCACAACAGAAGAGGCTGGACCAGTTGAAGGTTGCAAGCAATTCTTGGACACCAACATGGACTGGAAACTTGGTCCAAGATCTGTATGAAGTTTCTGGAAAGGGTCAACGTGTTGGGGTGAATTTAACTCAGCAAACTTGCAGCTGTAATGTGTGGCAGCTGACTGGATTGCCTTGTGAACATGCCATTGCACACAAGAATGAACCTGTGGAAAATCATGTTCACCAATGGCTAACAGTGGATGCTTTGCATGCCACTTATGAACACACTCTGAACCCAGTCAATTCCCAACAATATTGGCCAACTTGTGATGCCCCAAAACCACTTCCTCCACGCTTGAAAAGGCCTATTGGACGTCCAAAAAAGCATCGCAAGAAGGATCCAACTGAAGAGCTTATGAAGACCAACAAGAAGCTTAAGAAGACTTACACAGTTCAATGCTCCAAGTGTGGTCAGACTGGTCATTATGCCAAGACATGTAAGGGACCTGCTGGTGGATCAAAGAAAAAAACTAAACCGGTTAATGTTGAAGTTGGCCAGTCAAGGTCAGTTGAAGAGATCCTCATCAGCATGAGTCAGGGCCCTCCACCAGAGACAAGCAGCCAGCATGCACCAAATGCAGCTGAACCAAGAGCCAGCAGCCCACCACCATGCAATCCTGCTGAGGCAGTGACCAGTGAGACAGCAGCTGCAGCTAGCAGTGGCACCAGAGCCAGATTCATGAGCTTCATGACTACACCAGGACTCAGGCCACCTAGGCCAGCCCCACATAACTGAACATGAATTGTAATCACTGACATTAGGCCAGTTCGAATGTCTTAGGAGGCATTTTTTTTGTTATTAGGCCATTAGCTTGGAATTGTAATTAGGCAAGTTTTTTGGTTTACTTTGGTTTTGGCCCTGTTTAAATTATTCACCAATGACTTTTTTTTGTATACCTCTGGTTATGGCCATATTAAGTATGAACACTTTGTTTTTTGGGAATACATAGTGTTCCTACTTAATGGTTTATTATGTCAGTGCCAATTGTAAGTACACAGTCATGATATCAATGAAATATGCTTTATGGATTACTAAATCTCTTATGTCATTACTAGTTTGGAATTGCTGTCATTGATGTGAAATGATTGGAAGATTATGTCAGTTTGGTTACTATCTGTATTCACTGTCATGATTGTTTTCTATACTGTCAAACAGTACTACTTTTTGATTCATTGCTTGTCTTGTTACAATATTTGTATGCTGTGTCATTTTGGGGTCATGTGTAAACATACCTGAATTATGGGTTCCCTTTTATGCCTTATAAGTCCCCCACAATTTGGGTCGAGGACCAATTTAGTCCCTGTAATTTTTTCCTATTGGACAAATAGGTCCCTAACAAATTCATCGAGACCCAAATTAGTGCCTGTAACACATGACAGTAAGACACATGACAGTAAGACCAAAGGGGCACCAAAAGCTGTTACCACAACAGCTCATTCCCCCCTTCTGTTTAATTCCCTCAATCCTTGTTGTTATGGCATTCCCTCAATCCACAGAAGCTCATACAGTCTTTTGACATTTTATTTGGCATTTCAAGATAACTTAATACTTAGCAAATTGTGCTTTATGAACAATCAATTTCAAGGACATTAACCATTTTAAGAACAATCAACATCTCATTACATCCCAACAGTGGTCTTTCCATTACAGAGAAGCATACATATTACAGATTAAAAATGTGCATTTCACTCCACCCTACTACAAAGATATAAACATATTACAAAGACAATGATAATGGATCAACTAAGCCCACATTTACATAATGGAGCAGCTTTCCTTCTTCCACTACTGAACCCAAACGAACTACCTAAGCTCCCCCTTCCAGAAGACATAATCATGGCATAAACACAAAGTTCAACCCTAAATCGAACAGTATACACCCACCTTCCCTAAACCGTCAATCATTTTTCCTAAACCGTCAATCAATTTTCCCCAAATTCATGCGTTCAACCTTCGATTTGATGCCATGCTTTCTGGTTTGAGTTGAACCCTAAACCCTAAACTACGACGTTTCTTGTATGAAAGAGAACTTTGTGTCCAACGTGGCTGAGCTTACCCAAACGACGTCGTCCAACCACTCCACGTGGGCAACCGCATGTCACTTAACGTGACACATCAGCACCGTCACTCACTCCATCAATTTTCATTTGACAGAAGGACTAACGTGGGACCTGTTTGACATTGTTGGGGACTTTTTTTTGAGTTTATTTTTCTTAGGGACTAATTTGGCCACCGCATTTTTTGTCAGGGACCAATTTGGGTCTTTACTCTAAAAATTTCTAAACCCAAGACCCATTAACCTATTAATTAAACCCAAGAAAAAATCTAATCACATCTCATCAACAAAATTTTATCTTTGTAGAGCTTCATATCTCATTGTCCAAAAAAAAAACTATATTATAGTTTACTAATGTTTTTGTATTTCAAAAAAATAATTTACAAAGACAATATATACAAAAGATGTTATTTGCATAATAATCATGAAATAAATTTTAAGATTTTTAAAACACCGAAAACCGATCCAATCCAAACCGAAAAAAATTGGATCGGATCGGATTTGAAAAAAAATCCAAACCGAATGGATGATTATATGATCAAACCGAAGAGATTGGATCGGATGATTTTTGCTTCCAAAACCGATCCAATCCAGACCGCGAACACCCCTACTATCAGATTCACAGTGCAGAGTTGAGGCTCTCTCACACCTACTCTTTCGTTCATAAGGTTGGGAGCTATGTTACACCGACATCGACGGGACACGGGATACGACACGATACTCTGACACGTTAATTTTAAAAAATTGTTAAATTTTGACACGTTAGGACACATTTTAATATTATATAATTTTTAATTTATGTAGTGTATATTATATTTAATAATTTAACAAAAAAATAAAACTAAACTTATAATACTCATCAGTTTTGCAAAGAAACATACGATATCCCAAATATTTATATTAAACTCAATAAAATAGTAATTGTAATTCAACGAATCTAATAGTTGAAACTCAACTCAAAATACAACACAATGTAATGTTTGAATATTTTAAGTCTTTGCAAAGAGTATTGAAGTGTCGGAATGTCGGTGAGTGTCGAAAAGTGTCGGACACACGACACGTCAAGAATTTTGAAGTGTCGATGCTTCATAGATTGAAAGCAACCCACTATATAATCCATCTTTTTCACCCTTGCTCCCTTTTATCATACAGTTTAATGTATCAAGAGTGAACCCAAACTACACGTGATACATTGCTGTCCATTGAGTATCGATTGCGAATATGATACTGTTATATTCCTTACTTCACCTACATGTTTTATTGACTTCACTTTTATTAAAGGGTTTTATTAATTTCCTTTTACATAAAATAGGTATTTTATGTTGTAGAGAGAAACTAAGTGGGTCCCACCATTACAAGAAGAAAAAAAATGAAGTGCGAAAATCGAAATGAGAGAAAATGAGATAAGCTACCTCATGTAAAAAGAAACTACTATTTCCCTTCATTAAATTAGCAGAAACTATAAACTACCTGAAAGGCGAAACCACATCCAGAATAAATACAGTCTTTATTGTAAGATACATCTGTTTGTTGAGTGTTAAATGTTAATGTTGTTGAAAAACATGGCAAGAGCCGGAAAGAGTTGAGAGAGAATAGATATTAAGAATTTTTTTTTGGATAAACTAGGCTCTTGCTTCGAGCAGATTCAAAATTAAGGTTTTAAAATCTTCAAAAAAAAAATAATTAAAATTGATAGAATGAGTAAAAATAAGTACAACGGAGCCATAAGGTGACTAGTATATACTAGTACAGATGCAACTAATCATTTAACTAACCACAACTACTTACCTAATCAACTAATCAAACTATGGTAATAAATATATGGTGTAATGTTTCTCATGATATAAAAAACAAAATTATTTCGTGTATATGTATATATATATATATATATATATATATATATATATATATATATATATATATATATATATATATATATATATATATATATATAAAGTATGATCCTTTGACACCTCATCTAAGAGCCGTTAGATCAAAAAAGATTAATGGTGTCACATGCTTACAAATCAGAGTCATTGATCTTTTTTGATCTAACGACTCTCAGATAAGGTGTCAAATTTTCCTATCTCTCTCTCTCTCTCTCTCTCTATATATATATATATATATATATATATATATATATATATATATATATATATATATATAAGTACGTGGAATCATGTGAGACCATAGAAAGGGAAACGAGAAAAATGATAAAAACAAAATCATGTGTGTAGAAGATAAAATTATCTAAAATTTTAATCCCATAAACATAACACATTTTATATAAAAGGATAATACATTTGATTCGATATTTAAAAATTTTATGCTAATGGTATATGTTAATGATATTCAAAGATTATTCATCACTCACTTGAATTCCCGGTTATTATTCTTAGATACAAAAACAAAGGGTAAATACCTTTTTGGTCCTCAACAGGTTTTACTATGTCTACTTTAGTTCTTAGCAAATAAAAAAGTTCATCTTGGTTACTAAAAACTTCAAAATGGATCCATTTAGTTTGAAATTATAATCCCTCGCAAATTCAAAAAATAAATCATATTCATCATCATTTTTTATTTGCTATGGACTAAAACGGAATCGTGACATTGGAAAAAAAAGATTATTTACTCAAAAACAAATAATAACAACAGTTAGCACTTTCTGTCGTACAAAACAACAATTTATCATCCGAATAATAATAATAATAATAATAATAGCTCAGAGTCGGATTTTTATTCGGTGTGAATAATTGGCACAAAAATGAGAATTAATCTATCTTCATACTCAAAATTGAAACTTACCGGTAGATGGAAGGTCCAATTTATCAGCACCGGAAACCTGGACGCCGGCGCGTTTGATGGAATAGAACAAGGGAGAGACCATCATGCGATAATGGACGGGGCGAGATTGCTCCTCGCGAGGGTCGATTTGAACACCGGTGACGCCAATTTCTCTGAGTCGAAACCCTAGCTTTTCCCCGACGCGAGATGCAACTTTGGCGTCCCAGAAGCGTTGCGATCTCGGAAAGCGATTGAGCTGGGCACGATAGTAGGCCACGAATTCCTGCTCAGAAGAGGAAGCCATAGCTATGATGGATGACGTGGTGGTGTTTTTCACCTGCGCTGTGATTTTCCGGCACGACAACACCAGCTGCAGAAGGTGGTGGTGGTGGTTACAGTAACTACCCGCCATTGCATGGACCCACCCTGTTACGCTCCTTCGTGGTTTTTTGTGGTGAATAATACAGTTGTAGTTTTCATGGTGTGATTCCAATCAGAAAGCCCATTGGGCTGGCCCAATCGTAGCCCAAATAAACCATAGTTTTATTTAATTTTTATATTTTCAAATAAATAAATGACACTTAATTCAAGTGTGCGAATCGCACTGCTCTCTGGTCGTGTGTCCGTACTGCAATGGGGTGTGTATGTGTATCGGAACCCTTCCTTCGCCTTTGTATTTGAACAATCCGAAAGCTTATAAACCCGACCCGATCCGATCCAACCTCACCCGTCTAGGATTCTGGAGTTTCTATACCTCATCGGGTGGGTAAGTAAGGGTTCATCAACTTTCTCTTTCTCATGCCATTTGTTCTGCTACGACCTTGTTCATTTCGTTTTCATGAACTCGTGCTGTCAATTTTTTAGCTAAAGCTTAATCTAGTTTTTTTTTTTTTTCCTTTGAATATTAAATATTGGTATTCCAAGTGGTTAATTTGATAATTTAGAATTTACATGGAGCATTCCTTCTACTGATTATGACTATTTATATTTGAAAGAAGGAGAATAATATAAGAAATTAAAATGAAAGAAAGAAAGAAAGAAACCCTTTGAATTGGAAAAATCATGAAACTGTGATACTGATAAGTGATAACCTTATTCTTCAGTTGTTTATAATTTCTGGTTGCATCAATGTATCCAATTTTTCATATGTTTTGTGATGAACTGTGAAGGGTAATCTAATTATTTGTGTAGTTCTGTCATTGTAGGATGATGGATCACCAATCTGGCGGGGGATTTGATTCAGATGATAGTGACTTGGATATGCAAGGTGAAATTAGTGAGAAACATGAGAAAGTAGAAGATGAGTTTTGCAAAAGCTTAGATTTATGTGCAGATGAAGATGAGAAATTTGTTGAACAACCTTCAGTAGATACAGAAGCTCTAGAACCATTCATAGGCATGGAGTTCAATTCAAGAGAGGAAGCCAGAGAATTCTACATTGCCTATGGTAGGAGGATAGGTTTTACAGTACGGATACACCATAACCGTCGTTCACGAGTTAATAACCAGGTTATTGGTCAAGATTTTGTCTGCTCAAAAGAAGGTTTTCGTGCAAAAAAGTATGTGCACAGAAAAGATAGAGTGCTCCCTTCTCCGCCAAACACCCGAGAAGGTTGTCAGGCCATGATAAGGTTAGCTTTACGAGAAGGAGGGAAGTGGGTTGTTACCAAATTTGTGAAAGATCATACTCATAAACTGATGAGTCCTAGTAAAGTTCCATGGCGAGGATCTGGGAAGCACTTGGTTAGTGAGGTATGTCTCTCCAGGCATTAGCAAATATGACTATATGGTACTTATGTATTGATGTCTGGGCTATGGTTAAATATCAAATTTCAACTGACCATGCCCAAATATTGATTCCTTTGTTATTCTGTTGTCAACAAAGGGTAAATAAGAAAAGAGGAGCAGAAAACTATTAATTTGAATATATTTTATCAAATTGGGCCCAATTATTGAATTAGAATTGAAAACTGAATTAGATCTCCTCTCATGCGGCTGATATCGGATTGATATCAGTATCAGTGGGGTTGAAATATGTAGAACATGATAAACTTGAATTGGAAAATTCAGATAACCCTATGCAACTTGAGAGTGCCTAGTCTATCTTCGTCTCAAACCTTCTCTCACACTTTTCCCACCTTCTCACTCTCTTCTCTTCTCGATAACCCCCACTGATCCAATCAAATTCCTTTCCCTCCAATCTGCATCCCCTGTCATGTAGGCAGTTAGTTATCTGAAGTCATGATTTGTCCAATGCAGCTCCTAAATCTCTTCCTTGAATGGACCCAAGAAACTGATGGAGCCATGTAGGTCTATCAATATTACATCAAGAAGATATGGTAATTAGTCAATTGCCTAAGATTTCATGCAATCACACCCTTCACCACCATCCCCAAAAAAAAAAAAAAATATGTCGTTGCAAATATGATTGAATAAACTGTTATATATAATGGGAAGCCACATCTCAAGCAGTTACACATTGTTGGAGAATTTGATTAATGTATAGTTATCATTAGTTGCTTAGGACGAATATCTATCTTCTGTTTGTTTCGTTTTTAGTACCTCTAACTTATATTGATGATTTTTGTCACAGGATGAGAAAGATAAGAGAATCCGAGAGCTATCGCTTGAGTTGTACAATGAAAGGCAAAAGTGCAAACGTCGTTGTGCTGCATATGAAGAACAGTTAAATATGATTCTGAACGATTTGGAAAAGCACACAGAACACATCTCTGAAAAAGTTGCTGATATAGTTCAACGTATAAGAGAGATGGAGGAGGAAAAATCAGATTCAGATGGTGGGTAATTAGTGCCATTATAGCATGTTTCCTAGTTGCCACGTCTGTGTTGGGATTGTTAAGCCTATTTGCCATTTGAAGGTTTCAAACATAATTCTGCCAAATATTTAGACGTGATTTAGCTTGAAGTAATGCAGTGGTCATAGGGTCGTCTCAGGTCACATTAGCACATAGTTTACCGGGAAACTCATTTTCTAGTGTGTTTCATCAACCATGTCCAGGATTATGTGCTTTACATTTAACGTAGTATTGTTATTCTTGCTGAAAACTATTTCCCTCATGAGTATGGTAGCCGTTCATTCTTTTGTTGGACTCAACTTTTTTGGACCGGAGTTGGTGGGATTGTGGTTTACACCACATGGACTCTAGTCTTCTCTGCTTGCGTTCTGCTTACAGTTTGGATGATTACCATCACAGCGATCATTTACCTTTATTTTGGTTAGAAGAAATAGTGGCCTCCTAGAACTAGGTAGTTATCACATTTAAATGTTAAATATAGGACACATTTATCTCTGTAAAATTTTATTATAAACACTCAGAAAAACCGTGCAAATTGAAGATTTTCAATATTTATAACAAAAGACAGAACACAAGAATCCCGAAATTTCGCAACCACCTATCCATGATATATATTCTTTCAAATTGTCACTAATAATTCAATGTTCAGCATTCATTGTCTTAGGAAATGGACTAATGGGGTGAGGCATTATTCTCTTGTTTATATCAATCAACTCAAGAGGCAAAATGGGTTGAACTTAATGGGTCAATCTATCAAAATGGGACGGGTTAGGTTCATGTATTTCATTTCATCAACTCAAATAATCCGCATCAACTCAAATAATCCGTTTATATGTGAGGTGAGTTGAAATAGGCGGGGCGGATTAACCCACATGTAATTTTTTTTTAAAACAATATTAGATTATGCCTTCATTAGTCTATGTGAATGCTTATTATGTGAGATAAATTTTTTCTTGGGGCCATAATGTTATTATATTATTGCAAAGGTTATTTTTTATTTACTTTTGATTTAGATTAACACAAAAAATAAAAGAAACTTAAGTTTAGTTTTGGATTTAAATGCTAATATCTATACAAATCAAAGTAAATACTTATGAAATTCTAGTTACAGGACGCAATGACGTATTCCTTTGCAAATATGTACTTGTTTGATGTCATCAAACACTGAAATTATTAATTAATCTTAAGATATAATTTGTATAGTTATGTTAAATGAAATTATTGATTTAGATCATCCTTTTGTCTTTAACTTAGTGCTTGATACTTTATTAAAACTTAAGAAAAATTTTAATGTTAGAAATTAGAAATAAAATATTAGTATTAATATATTTAGATTTTTTTTTAATATTTTATTTTTAGACCGGTTGATCCGTGAACTCATCTCTACGGAATGAGTTGGTGTTTTTATCACTTATCAATGGCGAACCAACCAATCTCATCCCATTTCTTATGGGTTGAAGGAGAGGTGGGTTGATCCGTTTTATAGAGAGAGAAAAAAAAAATTGTAGGCAGGGAGAGTCTCTGATAATGGCAGGAATATGAGATACTAATACATTAAAACATCAATGAGAACGAGAATATCAAAATTAACAAAAAAAAAAATAAAAAAAAAATCATTAAACAGTTTTACAGAGTGAGAACATAATCAACCTTTCTCAACTCTCTCAAAACTTGAAAAAGAAAAAGAAAAGAGAAAAAACACAAACACATCATGTCACAATAACAATAGCCCCGATTCAAATGGCCTTCCTCCCCCAAAAAAAAAAAGCCTCAACGCATACTTGTTCCAAAAGACATGACATGCATCGTGGGTGTGATTCATCTTGGTCTGCATCCTTATCCTATGTTGTTGCCCCCAGAAACATATATTTACAACTTATGGTTAATTAAAAGCGAAACACTGACTGCATAGATTTAATTAACTGAGAGCACTGAAGCCACCCCCTTTCATCATTTGCTTGAACTCCTTATAATCCACCATCCCATCTCCATCGACATCCACCTTCATTATCATCGTCTTACAATCTTCGACCGTTCTTCCTTGTTTCAACCCCAGTGAAGCCAAAACCGCTCTCAACTCTTCAACGGTTATGAACCCATCTCCATTTTGGTCAAAGACGTTGAATGCCTCCCTCATATCCTCCTCTTCATCACGTTCATCCATAATCGACTGGTACAAATCACCAAACTCATCAATGTCCACGCACCCATCTCCGTTTACATCGATCTTCTCAATCATCTGCGTTAACTCCTTGTCGGGGATGAATATGCCAAGATTCTCAAGCGAATCGTTGAGCTCCTTCTTGGTGATTCTTCCATCACCGTTACGATCAAACATCTGGAAAACACGCTTGAGTTCTGTTGGGTCCATTATTATTCTCTTTGTAATAATAAGGCCCCTTGAAGAAGAAGAGGAGGGTGATTCAGTGGTGGTGGCGGTTTCGATGAGATTGGTTTGATGGAGGAACCAAGACCAGGGGGGGAGGAAGGCTCTCACCTTCTTTGGGACCAGACACACGACAAATGAATTTAGGAAATTGTAAAGAAGGAAAATCCTATGCATAATAGTTGTCATTGGAAATAGAATTTGTGGTGCTTGTTTGTTGCCTATGACTTACGAGAGATTTTTTGGGGGTTCTAAATAAGGTAAGTTAAACTAGTGAGAGGCTTTCAGATGCAGGATCTGTCTTTGTATTCCACTTTAACTTTTACGCGTATTTGGATTGTTAATGCTTTATTATATAATGACCATCATTCATTCAAAAACGCGTTCATATTAATTAATTCGCCTGCCCCTACCAATATGTTATTGTTTAACTAACCACTCATCAAATCCATAAATAATGAAAGCTCTGTCATGACCCTGAATACTAGTTTAAAGACATATTAGCTGGGCATTGATTTTATTTTATTTTGAATAATTTCTTTACGGGAAGTTATTCTGTTCGAGACGGATTCAGAATTAAGATTTTAAATTCTTTTCAAATATGATACTGGGAGGATATCACATACCACATATTCTTATCCCAACTTGCTCAGCTTTTAGTCTAACTGAACTACTATCATTTGATTTTTGCATCAATTTTAATTGTGTGTATATTAGTTGCCATTAATGTATATAAATAGTCCTTTAAGAAGGGGTTTTTTTTTTTTTACCAATTTATTTAGTATTGAAAGTTACTTAAATAAGGTTAGTGATGTAGAAAGATGAGTTTAAAAAACCATAGGTGTGCTTGTGTGGACGTTGATGACGGATCTAAAATGTTGGACAGTGGAGCCCGCCAATTACTGAGTGCAGACTCAGAGTCCGGCATTTTTGCACTATGCAGTGACTTGAGACAGTTGGATTTCCTCAACGGCTCTCTGCGCGTTTGGTAGGGGGTTGCTAACACGTGGCATCTCGTTATGCCATGCCTCTTGAGTCTTCTATTTCGTTAGGTTAAACTTACCAACGTTATAGGACAGATTTCATTATCACCGCAAAAATGATGGTGTACTCTTTATTCTTTATGTTAGGAATTGCCAAATACATCATTATCATCCCTGTTAAGAGCCTCTTTGAATCTTCTTATTTTTAAGCTAGAAGTTATTTATAAGTTAAAGTAAAAAAAAAAACTTAAAAAAAAGAAGCTAAAAGCTGTTTGAAAATTACATAAAAAATTTAGCTTAAAAATTACTTAAAAGCACATATTTCAAGAAAATTATCTCTCTCTATCTTTATAACTCTTCATTTAAAAAAAAAAAGCACACAATTCAAGAAAAACAGATAAGAGCTTAAAAAAACTCCTTCTAAGAGCTTTTAACTTTCAGCTTTTTCTTCATTATAAAAAAAAGAACTTTTCGTTATAAGAGCTTTTTCCAAAACCTGTTTGGCCTAGCTTATGCTTATAAGTAGCTTCTAGCTTAAAAATAAGAGGATCCAAAGAGACACTAAGTATATATTATCAACTTAATCATCGTTCAACAAGTTTTTTCTTCTACTTTTTTTCATTTTTTTTTTACATATTCAACTTGGCCTCACTTATGTCAAACAATACCTAAAGAAATTGTCTTTACCTGATGTTACTAATATAATCTCGTGTTGTTTGAGATAATACTCTCATGTTATTTGAGATAAATATGTGAAGTCCATAATTAAAAAAAAAAACTGATACAAAATTCGACAAGTATATAGCATAAGATAATTATCACCAACGAGACAAATATTTTCCTAATTCTTTTTAGGGATTATATTTTCTTATGCAATAGGAGAATATCTCATGTTGCACTCACAAACTTATGTGGGTCTCACTATACAAGAAAATAGAAAAAAAATTAAAGTGGACCCCACACCTTTTTTAGTGTGTAGAAGAGACTTGTTGTCTCCTATCACATTAGACTAATATTTTTCTTCTTTTTATATATATTTTTTGGGATAAATAAATCTCATGTAGTAGGAATAAAGTTCCTCTCATGTTAGTGAGAGCTCGATTTCCGTGTTAATATTTTTTCTTTTTTCTTTTTTTTTTAAAACTAATGGATCCACTTAATTGTATGTGTAGGGAAAAAACTCCTCTCATGTTGCATAAGAAAATACAACCCTATATTTTTTTTTCTCCACTTGCATAACAAATAGTTTACGACCATTGATCTTTTACGGTCCTTACGGTTTAGACGCAAGCTATAAAAATGTTATAAAACAAATGTGCTATACTATGCTCTCTTTTTTTCTATTTTTTTTTCCTCTCAATTTTTCAACTATATTGGTGTATGTTTTTTAAAATTATTTCAATTTATACTATCATTTATGCATACGGGTCAACCAACATGGATATCTCAAAGAATATCCTCACTTCAGTTATACACAGTGCAGTGGATATTCATATACACCATACTAGTAAGAGCTTTGACAAGAGACAAGTATGGTCATAAGTGTAGTAATTAAATAACAACTAGACGCGTTTAGGGAACATGTCTGTCTCTAGTTTCCCACTCCCCTTTATATTGTATGTCATTTTTTAAAAAATAAAATAAATTTTTTTCCCTTGACTCACAGAAGACTAATTTATATTCGAATTAATAATTATTGAGGTTAGGTCTTTTGTTAATAATGAATGCATAATTTATATTTGTTGCTAAAATTAATAGTTTGTGTGACTATAAAATTGCAAAATGGCCTCCCCAAACAGACCAAATTTTCCACTAAATTTCCTTATTGACCTTAAATCATGCACGCTCAAATGAAAGAGGTCAAATGTTAGCTTTCAATTCATGAAATTAAAAAATTGCTCATTCCCAATCTCAAACTCGCATTGTTATGCACATTTGGATCTATAATTTCTTTTTCTTTTTTGGATAAAGGATCTATAATTTCTAGGCTCGTAGTTTTTTGCTTTTTGGTCGGCAGGACCAGGGGCCATAAAATTAAAAATCAACGTCGCCTGAGAGATTCGAACTCTCGCGGGGAAACCCCATGTACTTAGCAGGCACACGCCTTAACCACTCGGCCAAAGCGACGATATTGGAGGAGATTCGTTTTGAATATATATATATATATTGGATTTGCATTTATCATGCCACCACAAAGAGTTTCCTACACAACAATATTTTGTGGGGCCTGCATTTTTTGAAGCAAAAAAATAAAAAAAAACTACAGCACGAAAAATGAATCTCTATAACATAATACAATCATTTTTCCTACAACATAACTTTTATAAAACCCTATATATATATATGAGAAAAGTGTGTGTCCTTTTAAAGGACACACACTTATATCCTTTTAAGAGAGATAAAGGAACAAATTATGAGAGAGAGAGAGAGAGAGAGTGGAGGAGAAAATTTATAATTTAAAAAAATACACTACATTCATCTAAAAGGACCATCCTTTTAAATGACAAACAATGAACTATATATATATGGGATAAATAACAATCATTTAACAGGAAAAAAATTTCTATCATGCAAAGCTACAGACAAAAGATAATTATTGAATACAGTGCTTGTTTCAAATTTTTTATTATTATTTATGTTGTCATTTTGCTTTGCAGGAAAAAAAATGGTTACTGCAACATTACGAAACCAAAGCCACACACACACATATATATATAGGGTTTAGCGGATGTACAATGACTGCATCTAAGGATTGGTGCAGTCATATAAAACTACGTCGTTTTATAGTGTGAAAACATTAAATATAGAAAATCATAACCATACAAAGACGGAAATAAATATAAAGCATTAAATATGGAGAATCATAACCTTACAAAGGTGAAAATAAATATAATATTTTTATTTTCTATAATTAATTTTGAACGCAAACTTCCTTTATGCCAACCAAAATGACGTAATTTTTAAGTGACTACACTAATGCTTATATGCAATCACGTTACAAATCATTTTGCTATATATATATAGGGAAATAATACTCTCATGCCACATGAGATACTCCCATTTTCCTACACAAATTCGTTTTCCGTGCCAATTAATTTTTCTTTTCTTTTTTAATATAAAATATGGGACCCACATTTAACTTCTCCCTACTTTTTTTCTCTCCTACAATCCTACAACATAAGAAAAGTTAAACCCACATATATATATATAATGAAGCTTCCACGTGGTGGACGTGGTCACGTGGACCAGCATATTCCAGTATCCTAAACCGAATCAGACTTGTTAACTGCGTTGCCACATATTTCTATAGTAAACAAATAGAGTGGAAAAATAACAATTACTTTTTAATAAATTTTTAAATTTTAAAAAAAACTAATTCAAATACATAATTTGTGGATTGCAAACTAGTTCTTTCTCAACCCTGACATCAGAGCCTGTTTTCGGCAAAAATAATAATAATAATAATAAGTTAAGCTTAAAAACTTTTTATTGATTATATTATTATTTTTAATTTAAAAGTTATTTTAAAACTCAAGCTAAGAATAAATCATTTGGTAAAATAATTTTTATAAGTTCTATGTTTAATTAACATTAACATAAAGGGTATTAGAAATCTTTATTATTTAGATAAATATAAATATAATAAGAATAAAAGACAAAGATTCTAAATATAAAAAATTTAAAAGAAAAAATATATTCAATAATAAATAAAACCTTCTTATTAGAAAACAGTTTCAACCAAAAAGATTTATACTCAAAAAACTAGAAAACTTCTTGTCAGTGGAGGTGGTAAATGGGCTCAACCCGGCGGGCCGAGATTTTCAACTTGCCAGCCTGCCAAACCCGTCCTTTTTTTGTACGCCTAATCTAATTTTACTATTTAATTATGAAAAGCCATAGAAAGTTTATCGCATTTTCTAAATGTTTCCGAACTCTCGTTCTAAATGAACTAAAAATGTTATAGAAATTTACTTACGAGCATACTTAATCAAACTAAAAATAAAAATTCTAACTTTTAGAAAGCTAAAATGTTATTGTTATTACGGTTAATTTTAATTATTCTTTGTTGGAGCTTAACATATGAATAAGATGTAGTTTAAAAATAAAGAAAAATACGTAGTAAAGCAAAATGTTATTATCCTAATAATTTTTTATTGATAAAAAATTGACCATTAATGTTGAGAAATGACAGTGCCACAATATCAA